CAATCAACAAAACTAAAAGGTAACCTTCAAACTAGGAGAATATATTTGCAAATGACGTATCTGATAAAGGGTTAGTATCCAAAATTTATAAAGAACTTACAAAAATCAACACTTAAAAAATAATCCAGCAATGTCCACAATATTCAAACTGTAAAAAGAGCCCAAATGTCCATCAACAGACGAATGGATAAGGAAGATGTGGTATTTCACAATGGAATATTACTCAGCCATCAAAAAGGATGAATACTTACCATTTACATCAACGTGGATGGAACTAGTGGGTATTATGCTGAGTGAAATAAGTCAGTCAGAGAAAGACAATTATCATATGGCTTCACTCATATGTGGAATATAAGGAATAGTGCAGAAGATCATAGGAAAAGGGAGGGAAAACTGAATGAGAAGAAATCAGGGAGGGAGACAAACCATTTGAGACTCTTAACTATAGGAAACAAACTGAGGGTTGCTGGAGGGGTGGGGGGTGGGGGGATGGGGTAAGGGTGATGGGCATTAAGGAGGGCACATGATGTGATGAGCACTGGGTGTTAATATGCAACGGATGAATAACTGAACTCTACATCTGAAACTAATAATGTACTATATGTTGGCTAATTGAATTTAAATTAAAGAGAAAGAATCCAGTTAAAAAAAATGGGCAGAAGGCATGAATCAACAGGTTTCCAAAGAAGACATACAGATGGCTAACATACACATCAGAAGATACTCAACATCATTCATCTTCATGGAAATAAATCAAAAGAACAATGAGATAGCACCTCACACCAGTCAGAATGGCTAAAATTAAGAACACAAGGAACAATAGGTATTGACGTGGATGCAGAGAAAAGGGAACCCTCATATTGTTGGCAGGAATGCAAACTGGTGCAGCCACTCTGGAAAATAGTATGGAGGTTTCTTGAAAATTTAAAAATGATCTGATATTTTAGATGACGTTTTTAAAAACAGAATTCTCTATGTTCTTACAGCATGTAAGATTATATTCAGAGGCCAACTTGATAAATATAAATGGATAATTTAAAATGATAAAATCAACTGACTTTTTTCTATAAAGTTCATCTTAGCCACAAGATTCACTGAATGTCTTACTCAGATTTTTCCAAGAGCTCTATCACTGATTTGTAAATGGAGGGAAGCCCGCCTAACTTTCTCCATTTTCAAAGTTCCCAATACTCTTTAAGACTATAATTCTAAATATTTATTTTAACAGAGTTCTCATTTTTATTGCTTGCAGCTTACAAAATGATTGAGACATACTCAAATAATGTGGAAAAATATGCTCCACGTAAAAGAAAATTTGATTTAGTCAAAATATTTTTTAAATGGAGTCAAATAATTAAATATTGACATTCATTTTTTTACTATTATCATTAAGGCATGAATCTGAATTATTGTCAAAATTATAACATAATAATTAATTAGTTCCAGGAAGCCACAACATATGTGAATTTAATGTGACATGTTAAATCTTACTAGAAATATCAAGTACTAAGGTTTGACTCCAGTACGTGTTAACTAAGTGATACAGCCACTTTGGACAGGAAACGACTCATTGTGGCATCAACTAAAGTTTGAAATAGCTTGGGATGAACTGCTACTACTGCATTTACTGGAATTTCTACTAGGGTTGTCCTGGCCAATGTCCAAGCAGACATATGGCCAATTTCCTCCTGTCAGTGAGCCAAATCTCACCCTGGAGTTATCTCCCCACTCTATATTATAAACAGAAGAGGGAGGTTAGTCCTGTTTAAAATAAATGACATTTTATTGCATTTATGCTACAAGTAGAATGTCATTCCAATCCTGCTTGTTTTTGTTAATTTTTGTCCATGTTTTACATCTTGAACACTTAAGGTGCTCATCATTAAAGAAAACTTTGCTAATTTGGAACAGACTGAAAGTGTTAAACTACTGTTTTTGCCTAGAAATCAAAATACATATTTATCTGGACAACCCTTCCACACACACACACACCCTAGTGTACTGGTGAATTTTTAAATTCCTTCATGTTTAGGTCTCAGCCTCAAATATTACATGAAATGAATTACTATTTCCTTCCTTCCAGCTAGTGTGACTATATAATAGTTATTTTCAAAATAATGTCCCTATTATTCCAGAAAATTAAATTTTGCCTTCATGCTTATAATAAAATAAATTTCACATACAAAAGTATAGGCTTTAATAGTTTTTTCTCATTCATAAAATGAGAAAGGAAAGTATAAAATTTCTAAGATCACTTCTAGCACATCTCAAGTCAAAGATTGGGCATGGAGCCTGCTTAAGATTTTCTCCCTCTCGCTCTGCCCTTTGCCCCCCACCTCTAAAGGGTATTAAGGAGAGCATGTGTGGTGATGAGCCCTGGGTGTTATAGGCAACTAATGAATCATTGAACACTACATCAAAAACTAATGATGTACTATATGTTGGCTAATTGAACATAATAATAAAAAAGAATAAGAAATAAGAAATAAAAATTAAAAAATAAACTTCTAAAATTAATTTTAATATTACATTTTCTTTGAGCAAATATATTTAAAATAAAATTTTTCCACTACAAATAAATAAATATGTGAGGTGATGGATGTGTTAAGTAGATGGTGGGAATCCTTTCACAACGTATACATATCACCACAACGTACATTTTAAATATCTTACAACTTTGTCAATTATACCTCAATAAAGCTGAATAAATTCAAATATTATTCAATATGTAATCAGTATACACATACTCATGAAATATTTTAATTTTTTAAACTAAGCCTTCAAAATCTGGTATTTTATAGCATGTCTTAATTCAGATGCAAAATTGTCAGCGGTTAAAGTGAAAATTAATCCTACTAAAACAATAAGATTATACTTAACAGGAAACTATTTTAAACTGTTTCAGCTTTAAATTTAAATTTAAATTAAAAATCCAGTCTCTCAGGGGCGCCTGGGTGGCTCAGTCGTTAAGCGTCTGCCTTTGGCTCAGGTCATGGTCCCAAGGTCCTGGGATTGAGCCCCGCATTGGGCTCCCTGCTCAGCGGGAAGCCTGCTTCTCCCTCACCCACTCCCCCTGCTTGTGTTCCCCCTCTCACTGTGTCTGTCAAATAAATAAAAATCTTTAAATAAATAAATTAAATAAAATAAAAATCCAGTCTCTCATAGTAGCCACATTTTAAGTGCTCAATAGCCACATATGACTAGTAGTTGCCATATTGATTAGTGCAGATATAGATCATTCAAGACAAGATGAGGAGGATTCTGGTCATTGAAAGGGAAGGAAAAAGAATAGAACTATATAGATAGTTCTGAGCATGCCTGAAGGAACCAAGAAAGAGGAAGCAGCCCTCTGTTGTTGTCTAGAAAGTGGATAAACCACAATATGGATAGCTTATGCAGGGATAACTATGATTTATCAATTAGCATTTAACTAAACACCATCTTTACATACTTAATTCTGAAAACTCTTCCTTACATCCCTCAGTTAGTAAAAATGTGATTATTACAGTCCCCAAGGATACCCGAGTTATCATTTCTGATTTCTCTCGGTCTCTCTCTGTCACCTATCACCTATCATCTATCTATCATCTATCTATATTATCTATCTCCCTAATGAGGCACTAAGGATTACTCTTTCCTCAATTTGAAAACTTCTTCAATTTTGGTTCCTTCCTTTCACTTCCCACTGACATCACTCTAGTCCAGGCTTTATGCTTCATCATATTACACTTGAATTGCTACAAGTTTTTTCATTGATTCTCCTATTCCAGTCTCTCCCACCTAATTCATACTGTACATCTCCATTACATTAATCTTTCTAAGACATAATTTCCATGATCTGACTTCTCTATTAAAACATGTTCACATGTTTTCACCTCTGCCCAGAATAAATTTCTCACTGTTCTTATTGTGTGTGGGGAGAAGTGGGGGTGTGGGGTGTGTGTGTGTGTTTACCTCTCAGTCATTTTGGTACCGAATTAAACTTAACCCCATTTCTGTTCTCCAATTCTTTAATAAATGTTTTTCTCTCTTCTCCTATCAACTGTGATCTCCTTGGGGCACCTGGGTGGCTCAGTCGTTAAGCGTCTGCCTTCGGCTCGGGTCATGATCCCAGGGTCCTGGGATTGAGCCCCGCATCGGGCTCCTTGCTCAGCAGGAAGCCCGCTTCTCCCTCACCCACTCCCCCTGCTTGTGTTCCCTCTCTCACTGTCTCTCTCTCTGTGTCAAATAAATAAATAAAATCTTAAAACAAAACAAAAAAACTGATCTCCTTAAAGGTCAGAGTTGCATATTATTCTTATCATAGAATCCTCAATATGTTATGTTGTATTTGCACAATGATGCTTAATAAGTATTTGTTAATTTGAAATAAATACAATGGAGACTCCAGCTGACAAATTGCCTTCTTATATGTTTCCTGGATAAGAACATGAAGAGTTTAGGTCATCAAGACAAATTAACTTCATAATCTACCCATGTTTTACTCCTGTTACTCAAGCATTATGTTATATTAATTATACTAATTTCTAAAAATGCCAATGCCAATATATATTTTAATTTACAATCAAAATGATCAATAGAACCCCTAGAAGCAGACTTCTTTTTAAGTCATCAAGTTGTTGTGTTTTTAATTGACAAGATTTTACTAATTTTTTGGCAAGGCTTATTTTTGGCAAGATTTTTTAATAAACCAAAGACTGAAGGGAAAAAGAAAATAAATAGGATTAAATTAAAACATGTGCCATTATTTAAAAGGAGTACTCCCAACTTTATGTCACCACCAACAAAAATTAGACTTCTTACCTTGAAAGTATAAAGTGGGTCACCATTTTTCTAGAAAATGGTGTTGAAAGAGAAATCATTTGAACAAATTTGTTCAGTGAAACTCTTGTGAGCCCATGGACAAATAAAAGCTTTTATTTTTTAGAAAAGTAACATTTGTCCTATGAAAATTCCAGTGATGAATAAGAAAAAAATATATTTTATGATTTTTAGTGGGAGAAAGTTGGTTTAAGGGATTAAAAAAAATAAAGTCACAGTATTAAATTCTCTTGGTGTTTAAATAATTTATTTGATGTTTGCTACTTGTGCATTCATTTCGATGCTTGACACACATATCTTCTGGACATGAAAAATAATGGTCTATTTAAGAGACCTTAATGAATGACAATATTTTTGAAATGCACTTTATAAATACAAATATTTCAAAGCAAAGGGAGAAAACTGTTGAATGAGTAGACAATACAATTCTGAACATTTCTGATTTACAAAAGTATGCCTACTTTTTTCACTAAACGAATACAACCACTTAAAAAAATATATGTGTGTATGTGTGTATACCCACACACAGTACAGAAACATTTCAAAGTGGCAAATTTTTAGTGCACTGCCAAAGTGCTACAATAACTGTCATCCATAGACATTCACGTGCAAACACTACTGGACTAGTACACTACAGCAAATAAGAGAGCATTAGTTAGCCAAACTCTGTGGCAAAAACTTTTAAAAAATGAAAATAATGAAACAGAAATCTACTTCTCATCTGAACAATGTAGAAAATAATCTCGTTTATCATGAATCATGTGTGTGTGTGTGTGTGTGTGTGTGTGTGTGTGTGTTACACACAGTATTATCTAAGATGAGAAAACAGGGGCAGGAAAACTATCCATTAAAAAATAAGAAAAAGAAAAGAATGGCAAAGACCGGAATGCACATGCACATGCAAGGGAGTGGAGTGGTTAAGCAGAAAGTAACAGAAATCAATTAAAGTCCGAAACAGCAGCTAGTCTTGACACTGGAATGAATCATGGAAGTTGGATGAGTGGAAAAGGAGAGGTGAAAACAAATTCTCTTCTTTGTTTTAAGCTATGTATAGAACTGTCAGTCACTAGCCAAAGCCCATTTGGAATGTAAGTTGGCTAAACTGTCACCAGTCACAATACAGACTTTGCCAAAACTACTACACAGGGTTGTTCTGAACAACAAATAAGATACCAGTTGTGAAGATGTTCCACAAAATTCAAAAGCTGTACTCATATAAGACAGACAGCTCACACAATAATCAGATTAATTCTATCCTTCCAACTCTGAGAAAATGCAAACAATGAGCTCTCCAGACCACAGAAAGGAGGAAACCTCTGCTCCATTATCAAAGCTTCATGCAACAGCAGGCTCCGTAATCACAGCAAAGTCTGACTTTGGAAGCAGAGCAAAGAAGGTGACAAACTGATCTAAGGGAAAGAGTTGCAGTATACCTGTGAGCAATGTCTCCACTCCTGGCATTTCCCCACAGAAATTCCTGGAAGGGGGCGGGATTATTCAGTGGAGAAAATACAGATTCCCTATCCTACCTCACTCTAACCCTAACAAAACTTACTGCCTAAACATTAATAGGATTAAATTATCTCAATTTCTCCCTTACAGAAGGAAGGCCTGAGAGGGTAAAAAAAAAAAAAAAAAAAAATATGCCAAAGCACATAATTCTTTTCCTTGCGTATTAAAAACTGGAAAAGAAGAAAAGTTTAAAGTGTGTTATCTATGTGTGTGCATTGCTATGATCATTTGACAGCTAGGAAACTCAGGCTTAGTGAGACTAATTTATTCAAGGCCACTTATCCCACACAAATTTGACCCTGGGCTTGTTTCATGTCAAAATTCTGGCTGACAACTTCAACAAAAACAAATCCTACCTCATTAAAAAGGGTCAGGATTATAAATGGTGAGAATAGCCAACATATTTTTTGTTATCTTTTTTCTTGTTAATTCTATCACTATTTAAGAAAATATTCTGGCATTGAATAATACTTCAATTAAACTTTTATAAATGCCTTAAACAGCATTTCCTCCTCCACTAATAGTAATCCTATAAGAACAACCCATGATATCAGAAACACAGGTAATCACCAATAAATGCATTCATCAGCAGCAGCTGCAAATATCACAAAAAAAGAGAGAACCAGACATTATGTATCACCTTATAAAAAGAATACATGACCTAAGAAATATTCCTGCCCCCAAAATCATACTTCCATTCTGATCAAGTCTCTAGATCCACCTACCAAATTAAGGAAACAGAGGGTAAAGGAACTTAACACCACAAGGATGTAATCACAAAAATTTAAGATTGTGGTAAATGCTACATGTGAAACAACCTATTTCTTCAACAAATAAAAGTGCAAAGAAAGAGACAAACGGGAAACACAGATGAAAAAGACTTATGAGAGTTACTGGAATTTTATACTAAAAATACTAACATAAATAGCATTTATGAGACAATTGCAATTGGAATCTGGATATTTATTGATATTAAGGAGTTACTGTTAACATTAAGTATGATAATGGAATTGTAATTTTTTCCAAAAGAGACCATACTTTATAGAACTATATATAGAATAATTATGGTTGAAATGATGTAAAGTATGGTATTTATTCCAAAATAATTCTTGATGAGGGTTAGAGTGGGGATTAGATAAAACTGTTTGCAAATGGATAATAGTTGAGGTTGAGTGCTAAGCACATGGCTGTTCATTATACTATTATGTACGTTTGAAAAAAAAGCACATGCACCACAATCACTAAAAAATGTCCTAATTTTTTTTCCAAAGAAATAAGCTTATTATCAAGGAATTACAGAGCTGAAAAGACCTTAGAAACAATCTATTCAAACCACCTCATTTTATAAATAAGGAAATTAAGGCTCAGATAGGTTAAGTAACTTGCTCAGGGTCACACAACTTGACAGTTCCAGAGTCAAGATCATAATTTAATCTCCAAACTTACAGCCCAGGGCGTTGCTGTTTTTTAAACCTATAAGGAATGACTGAATTTAAACATTTAGTCCAGACTAGCCTAAAAATTGAGTGTAATTCATAAGAATAAGCCACGTGGCAAGGAATTAATAGTTAGTTCATACCAAAAATGAGCTGCCAGTCACTGTGATAAGATCTGTTTCTTTCTGAGAACCATGGTTTCCTGCTGGATTGGAGGAGAATCCAAACTGGGTTTCTTCCTCCTGTCCAAAGAAGTCAGAGTCAGGATGTACATTCCATTCTGCTTTGGTTGGCGGCAGTAGTTCTGAGACACTGTTTTCACAAAGGGTGCTTGAAGGAGTCAGAGCATCCGTGTCCACTGTTAGCTTACTGCTGGGGGTCAAAGCTTGGGGCTCTTGACTTGAGTTTTTCATAGTCAAAGAGCCCAGAGATGCCAATGGCCCCACACTTAGACTTGGGACATCATCCATATCTAAGGGACTCTGCTGAAAACCAGAGGCTGTCGTTCCAAAAAAGAGAGAGGTATCCAGACTTTGAGGAAGGTCACTGGTGGCCATCAAGGCCCGAGGGTCCACAGCCTGCCCTAAGGAATTATTATTATTAGCAGGGAGGCTCCCTGCCAGAGTTGAACTCACAGAAGCCACATCAATAGTCAAGATTCCAGAGTTCACCAATGCTGTGTCCAACACTGCAGCAGAACTACTGCCAGGCACATCAGAGAAGAGAGACACTAGCTCTGCATCACTGAGATCACTCTGTCCCTGGCTGGTAAGTTCACTGCTGGGCGTAAGAGAATTCGCAGCTTCCAGCTGAGCTAAGAGATCCTGGCCGAGGTTGTGCCTTTTGGTCATGTGGGTCTTCATGCTGTGCTTGGATGTGAAGAGTTTATTACAAGTAGAGACTGGGCAACGGCTTTTCCAAGTGTCCACGTCCTGCAAGTGTTTCTTGGAGTGAATGTAGAGACTACTGCGAGCAGAGAACCTGGCACAGCAGCCTTCCACAGGGCACACAAAAGGCTTTGTGCCCAGGTGGGTTATGCTGTGGCCTTTCAGATGCTCAGCCCTTGTGAAAGATTTCCCACAGCCTTCCACAGGGCACATGAACCTCCGGTCATCCTCGTGCTTCCTTTTGTGCCTTAAGAGTTTGGACATGCTGGTGAAGTTCCAGCCACAGCCGTCAAAGTCACAAAGGAAAGGTCTCTCACCGGTGTGGCTCCGCAGGTGAATTTTCAGGCGACAAGCCTTGTCGTACTGTTTGCTGCAGCCAGGAAAAGAGCAGGAAAAGAGTTCCTGTTCCCTGAAATGGGCACGGTTATGGGAAAACAGGGCACTCACTGTGATAAACGTCTTCTTGCAGCCAGAAAACGCGCACTGGTACGGCCTCTCAGGCTCGAAATGGCTGCGCTGGTGGGCGCTGAGTTTGGCCTGAGTGGGGAAGCTCTCCTCGCACACCTCGCATTTGAACGAGTTCTCCTGCTCATGGCCCTTCATGTGCGCCTTGAGGTTATACACCGTGGTGAAGCTCTTGCCACAGCCCTCCGCAGGGCAGCCAAAGGGCCGCAGTTTGTCGTGCGACTGCAGGTGCCTCTTGAGCTTGTAGGAGGTGGTGAAAGTCCAGCCACAGCCGCCCAGGGGGCACTTGAAGGGCCGCTGGCCCTGGCTGCTGCTGTGAGTCAGCAGGTGCACCTTCAGCTGGTGCTTCTTGGCGAAGGTTTGTCCGCACTGCGCCTCGGGACACAGGTACAGCACCACGCCCGGGCCTGGGCCCAGCGGCCTGCGGGGACTCTCGGCTGCGGCTCGGCCCTCTGCCTCCTCCTCAGGCGCGGGGGCGGGCGCCGGTTCCGCCGGCTCCGCCAGCAGGAGGTCGGGCGGCAGCTCCGGGCAGTCGCTGGGCTGCGCGGCGTGCGGGACCCCCGCTTGCGGAGCCATCAGACCCCCAGGCTGAGGGGCAGGCGCGACCCCAGGCTCCCAGGCTGGCGGCGGGGGCGTGGCCAGGGTGAGGACACCGTTCTCGAAGCGCAACAGCAGGTTTTGGTTGTGGATGGTGACGGTGCCCGTGAAGGCCGCGGCGGGTCCCAGGCCTGGGGCGGGGATCGGGTTTTCAGCCGGGGATGGGGCGGGGACTGCGGACAGGCAGCGGGGGCCTAGCGCCTGGCGGCCCGCGGGATTCGCGCCATTCTCACCCTGCTGGAGCTGTGGGACCGACTCGGCCTCCTCCCTCCATACAGGCCCTGCGGCCTGGCCGGCGCCCGTGGTCTCCACATCGCCACCCGCCGGGTCCAGCAACACCAGGAAGAAGTCATCGCTGTCGCCGCCGCCGCCGCCGCCAGCGTGATCCGACCTCGGCGCCAACGGGCTCGGGCCCGGGCCCCGTGAGGCCGCTCGGGCCTCCTCGTGCCGCCTCCCGGGCCCGCCATCTTGGGGGCCCCGGAGCAGCAGGAGGCGGCGCGCGGGGACCTGGCCAGCCCGCGGGTCAGGGCCGCCGTGGAACCGGCTGGCGCCCGCGGGGCTGCCAGCACCGCCGCTCTGTCGTGTCCCTCGAGGCGGGAGCAGCCTCGGGCTTTCCATCTCCGCGTCGGTGAGGCTCCACTGGAACCAGAGCCACGGAGGAGGCGCGACCCCGCCCCCTGCCGCGGGCCTGAACACGTTCCTGAAAGGGAAAAAAAAAAAAATGTGCAATGCGCAGAAACTGGCCCTATCAGATATTAAAACGTGTTTAACGACACAGTGATTTAAATATTCTGGTACTGGGTCTCTGGGACAGAATAGAAAGCCCAAAGGCAGAGCCTGGTATGCACAAATAAGTTCTACATTCAATATTTGTAGGAAATCAAGGACGTCTTCCCAGATAATGGGGAAATGAAAGTTCACTTGGTAAATGGTGCTGGAATACCTAGCAATCTATCTGCTAAATGCAACTTAAATCTGTACATCACTGTATATACCAAAATAAACACCCTCACCCCCTCCCAGTGGTAAGCATGGTGATTTTTGTAAAAAATTGTTTACTGGATGGCTGCCTGGCTGGATTTATCAATCCAGTGAGAGAAAATTCCTGGGACAATACACTATGTGTCAACATTAAACTACCATAATGCTAGCAAATTATGCTGAAAATGATTTTCTTTTCCTGGGCAAGTTCCATATCCAGAACTGTCTTGAGCAAGGTCCTCAGGAAAATTTTATTTATTTATTTATTTATTGCCTGCTGATACAGAAATTAGAATGAGTAAGAGGTGGGGCCAAAACAGATTACCACTGTTCAGCCTAGAAGTGCAAAGCCTGGAAGATGAAACAATTTATATTGAATCCTGGAAAACCCACCCCACCCCTGGGTTCTTCTAAGAGGGTGCACAACCTAAACCAGCTCTTTGCCATTACACCATGGTAAATTTCATGTCCAGTCCCACAGCATTCCTTAGCTAACTCTAGATTCTCCAGCACATGGAGGTCTCTGGACAGGAGTACCAGTTAAGTGTGATAAGATTAAGCCCTAAGTCACTGTTATGGACTCTGCTGAGAAAAATACACATATGACCGTGTTCAATAGTCCTGGTGTGCCGGCTTGCATTTCAGTGTGGTGACCCAATCTCACTGTAATGGATTTGGCCTGTGATGCCTAATGATTGTGTTAATGATGATGATGATGATCTTCCGACTTGTCTGTCATCTGTGATTTGGAAAATGATATAAATAGAGGGTGAAATATCTAGCAAGGAAAAGGTTTAGGGTAATGACTAGATTATGGGGCGCATATAGTTTAAATAATCCCCACTCCCCCCTTTTTAGTGATAATGTATACTTGCAGAACACTTGATAGAAAGAAAAAGTTTTTCATCCCTAATACTCTAAACCTTATCAAAATTTTTACTTCACATATTTTCCTTCCATTACATTTTTTTGCAGGAAGCCATATTTAAAAATCTGAGGTATAGAGGAGTGCATAAAACATATCTGCCAGGTTTAGATAATTTGTAAAAACAAACACCCATGTAACTAGGACCCAGGTCAAGAAATAGACCATTGCCAGCTTTCCAGAATACAGACACTGTGTTCCTCCCAATCACAACCCACACCCTTTCTTAGAGATATAGTCATTATCCTGACATTGTGAGTATTTCAGAGTTTTTCTTTATAGCTTTACCACTTGTGTACACATCCCTAAATAATACCATTTATATGAATTAATATAAATAAATCATACCGCATGCTTCCTCTGATGGCTTGCTTCTCTCACTTGTATCACTTATTTGAGAGATTCATCCATGTTTTTCAGAGTAGCTATAGATTCTTTGTCTCCATTGTTCACTAGCATTCCAGTGTATAATTTTAGTGAAGCAATCATGAATTGATTGAACATCCAATTCTACAGTGGATGGACACTATGGTTGTTTCTAGTTTGGGACTATTAGTATTAACAATGCTGCAGTGAACATTCTTGGACATTTCCCATGGAATACATGTGTAAAAGTCTCTTGGGTCCACCTCCAAAAATAGAATCACTGGGGTATGAATACCCTCAACTTTTCTAGATGATGCCAAATTGATTTCTGTAGTAGTTGTGCCAATTTACAGTCTCACCAGTAGCACAGAGAGTTCCTGCTGCTACACTTCTTCACCTACACCAAGAATTGTCAGAATTTACTTTTTTTTACTCTTACTATTAAGCTTTTGCATATTCTCATATTTATGAGCCTTTTGGATTTTCTCTTCTGTGAAAGGACTGTTCAAATTCAAATCTTTTGCCCATTTTTCTATTCTATTTTCAGTGTTGTACTTACTGATTTAATGAGTTCTTCATATGTTTTAAATACCAGTGCATTGGTCATTATACGTGTGGCCAAAAAGTCCCTTGCTCTGTTGCTTGTATTTTCACGTGCTTTATGCTGTGCTTTGTGAACAGATCTTAATTATAATGCAGTCAAATTTACCATTCTTTTCCTATGGTTAGTGATTTCCTGTTTTATGAAATCTGTCCCTGCATTAAGGTCATGAAAATATTTTCTATTTCCTATATTGTCTTCTAAAATATTTATGGTTTTGCCTTTCACGGGTCTTAGTCCACCTGTAAGTGATGTTTGTGTATGGTGTTGAGTAGGGCTTTGTTTGTTTGTTTTTAATTTGGATAACCAATTGTCTCAGTGAACCACTCATTGAAAATTCTGCTGTTTTCCAACTGATTTCTAGTGCCACATTTGTCAAGTATCTACCTATGTATAAGCTAGTTTCTATACACTCTAGTAAGTACCATGGCCCTATTAATCTGTCTATTTGAAATACTATATACCAGTATTAATTATTACAGGTCTAAAGCCAATCTTGATATTTGGATAAGGCCTGTCAATTCTTCCTTGTTTTTCAAAAGTGTCTTGGTTATATTTGGCCTGTTTTGACTCCATTTAAGTGATCAATTCATCAGAAAAATTTAAAAATTTAAAGCAAAACTCTTTGTGGTATCTAATTAAGATTGTGTTGAACTTTCACATTCGCCTTCTTTTCATTATTGCATGTTTGATTCATAGATATGGTCTATCTTTCCTTTTAATAATAAAAAAACCTTCTTTAATGTGTCCCAATAATATTTTGTATTTTTTCCATAGGAGGACATTTTATCCTAGGCATTTCATATTTTGCAAATACCATCTTTGAAATTTTCATTTTCTAAATTTATTCTGGTAAATAGAATGCAAATGGCTTTTGTATATTGGTTTTTTATGTTACAAATACCTAAACTCTTTTGTTGATTCTAACAACTTGTCTGTACATACTTGTAAGATTTAAGGTACAGAATCATAACATCTGCACATAATGCCAGTCTTACTTCTTCCTTTCAAAGCATTTTATTCCTTTCTTTTCCCTTACTGCTTTCTCTCAATGATCGTGGAGGTCTTTATTTGATGCATCTCTCAAAGAGAAAGGTATCAGTAATTCTAAGAATGATGTTTGATGTACATGTGTTCTGTAGAAATCTGAATCAAGCACGGGGTAGAAAGTGCACAGTGGACAGGGGAAGTCTAACATAAACATAAGGTTTAATGTAAAGAATTATTAAACTATGAAAAATGCATAATAAATAGGATATGTTATTTCCTATGTGTGGTATTCTAGGGCTGTGGGAGAGGGCCCAAGGAAAGACCAATTTTGAATGTGGGCCCCTCTCCAAGGCTGGAGTTCACACCTCAGTGGAGAAGGTATAGGAGAACCTACTGGATGACAAACAAGTTTGCTGGTTTGTGGGTGCCAGAGCTGGTTTACAAAACCAGAGCTGGTCTACAGTTACAGGGTAAGCAGGAAACAACCCTCTGGAACACATCAGTGTGGACAAGCCACAACTAGTGGCCAGTGTGTGGGTGTGTAGTAAGAATGGGGGTGCTTGTGGAGTTGGAGGCCTGGAGTTAAAAATGCCCTGCACATAGGATCAGAAAGACCTTGGTTTTGGGAGGGCTGCAGCACTGGGAGAACTACAGAAGAGTAGTTGTTTGGGGATGGGGCAGAAGAGCAAGAAAACAGAGGGAATTAAGGGGGCAAGTGTTTTGGATGATACCAAACGTAGTATGATGTACCAATGGATGTACCTATGAAGAGGGCCACAAAAAGCTTATTTCCAGGCCACATCAGGATTGCACATTTGATGAAGACAGTTGTTTTTGGCTCATGCTTGGAGCCGAGCACTGAGGATATCTTCATAGCCACACCCCTAAGAACCAGAAATCACAGGCACTTCCTCCTTCAACCTCCAGTGTCTTCTACTGAGATTATAATATTGTGTTCACTCTGAAGGAGAGATACTTAAAAAATTCATCTATTATCAGAGAGCATGTTTTGAGGGGTGAATTTAGAGTAGAGAGGCAACACATTAATAATTGGCTTCATGTCCTTTATCAGTTTAAGGGATTCACTTTTATTCTTAGTATGCATGGATAGTAGGCATCCCACCTGCCAGGGTTATTGTTAGCTCACCCAAGGAATAGTATCATCCCGTTATTTCTCTGGTAAATTAATGATTAAAGCATCAGGACTGGCCTTTGCAGGAACTTTAATAGACTTCTTAGGATTTTTGGTGGACCCAGGGTTCCCCGGTCTGAACTAAGTTTATTATTATTATTATTAATTTTCAGTTAACCACTGTATAGTACATTAGTTTTTTATGTAGTGTTCAATGATTCATTAGTTGCATATAACACTCAGTGCTGAGTTTTGCTGTAAAACCCAGGCTTTGGCACAAGGGGTTGTCATGGGGCTAGGGCAGAGAACTTGTGAACCCTGCATTCTAGTCCTACCCCGGGCTTGTCTGCTTCACCTGTAAAGAGAACCTTGGCGTATGGTGAGATTGCCTCTCTCACCGTAGTGTTGTCCTTGAGAACAAAGTACTTTATACCTTAAATGCTGCTCTGCATTCCTGGTAGCTGTACCTAAACTAAAGAGGGAGAGAATATGCTTGGATTTCATTCAAAATCATGCCCAACAGAGCCCTGACCATGAAGCAGCAGGGCCAAAGATTCCTGTGTTAGTCTAACAAAGTGTACATGTTTACCATTGTTGTCAGTCTAAGTGTTTTAATTGTACTTTTCTCAACTGTACTTCTCTCTTTGGTCTTAGGCTCCAAAATGGACAAAAAT